GCCAAATAAATGGTGATGCTAATAAATTATATTCTTGTGTAAGACGATCAGGTTCAAACCATAAATCAGAAAAAAGTAATGGACCTGATGATACTTCAGATATATTCCAAGGTTTTCGTCGATCATGTACAATTAACGGACCAAATGCAGTAACAGATTGTAAACCTGCATGTGAATGATAAAAATGTGTACCTGACGGATAAGCACGAAATACATAAGTAAATGAATGTTGACTTTCTATTGGCATTTGTGTTATATAAGAAACTCCATCCATATGTGGAGTTTGTTGAACAAGCATACCATGAAAATGTATTGATAATTTTTCACTAGCTGGTAAATAATTTGTAACACGAATTATTAAAATATCATTTAGTTCAGCTTCAATCAATGGACCTGGTATTTGATTATTAATAAGAACAATTGATGAGGAATTTTGAGCATAAGAAACATTTAAATTATATACAAGACGATAATTATTATTACTTACTGAATTTATTAAAGAAAATATTGAAAGAAAAATAAGACGAAGAAAAATATAAATCATTACTGAGTTTTCTTTTTAAAAAATAAATAGATCTATAAAATTGTTAATGCATATTTATTTGCACTGCACGATATCAGATATATCCTACTTTGATCGAAAACAAAAGCGAGAAATGTAAGAGCGACGGTAAGGTTGAGGAAGATTTCTCCTGCTATACACTATCATTTTCAACGTTTGTATCTTTTGACATTTTTCTTTTCGACCGAAGTTGAGATATTCTGATTATTCGACCGTCTTTTCTTTGTGTCATATCAACCATATATCAGAAAAGTATGATTTTTGTATCTGTTATAGTAGAAGTATAATGCTGATCAGTTATTGTGTTAAAAGTCTGTCTATTGTAAATAAAGAGATTTGTTTGTTGAGATCTTTCTTAGAATCTCTTAATTGCAGATCCATCGTCGATTAAACGATGTTGAGAAAGCTCTCGACAAATCTTTTATTTTACAAAAGACAGAATTTGAACAAAAAAACAAGCAATCAACATAATGTATGTTCTATAGCTGACAGAAAAATCATACAGGTCGAGACTATCGGAGAAAAAATAACTAGAGATTCATAATTGATTGGTTACTCTCATTTGTATAAATTTATTTATTATCGTTGTAAAGATACTTGCTATCGATATTGATGAAAACATCAAATATCTTTTCTCTTATTTTTGTCTATTGCGCAAAAGTCAACTGTAGAATGATCGATATTTTATATTATGCTATAGCATATATACAGGAAAAAATTATGAGTAAACTTTGTCTTTATTTTTCTTCTTCGCACTTATACACGTCACAGTTACTCATGCCATAGATGATGATTTGAATATAGCTCGTATGAAGAGGTAAAAAGGGGAATAAAATACACGATGAAAATTGAGACACTTTTTAGTGTTTTTATGTGTCAACTTGTCAATGATAAATACATTATTGTTCTGCTTTTTTTTATTTTTTTATGGATATTAATATGGAAATGATTGCTCTAATTTGAAATATGTCAGTTTAAAAAATATTCTCTACCTGAGTGTATAACTAAATCAATAGTTGTGACAAACCATAAGCAAAAAAAATTTACAAAATTGCTTTAATGTACTCAATCGACATGTAAATCAACATTGAATAGATTGAAAACATTGTAAAGTGTACTCGTAAGAAATGCCCTTCACATTTCGTTCTTGAGACAACCTTCTTAGGAAAATGTTCCCGATCTTCGATTGTTATTTTTTAAATACACTACTAGCCAAAAGTATCCATCCACCTCGGATCTTAGTTCCTATGAGAGCTAAACGTCTGAAAATTCTTCTGCAGGTAGTCTACAGACAATGTAATTCAGTAGTAACATCAGCGCCAAACTCGCTCAAGCTAGAACAGAGTTTATAATAGGAAGCGTCTACGATCACTGTAAATTTTTTAACTCGAGAACAGATAAACTTTTCCAGTCGTTCAATCTCTCATTTTGTAGCCCTAAATTATAGCTATTTCTGATATAAATTTTATCAAAGTTCATCAAGCTATTGACGAATTAGATCATTCTACTGAAAACATGGATATACCAGAAAAGTATAGAATGCTATTGAAAGGTCAATAAGTCAGTGATAGTTTCATGGATCAATCTGAAACTTTCAGAAGATGTTTCATCATGATTGTCCATTGTTTTCTGAAAGTTTTCAGAAGCGAGTGCTTTACTAAACAAAAGCAGCCCACTGATGGCCATCACGAACTTGTCAAGACTCTGAAGTCTCCATTACTAAAGCAAATGATGACATTTTTTTTAAGCAATGAAGGATCATGAGTTCGGCCATACTTTCATGCTGAAAGATCAATAATTCGTCATATATTATCCTAAAAACAAACCACAAATCAGTAAATCTACATTTTGCTATTTTTCTGCCAAATGGAGCAATCGTCTTCATTTGTTAAGATTTGGCTGCGAAAATTGTTTTGGATGGCCTTAGAGTTATATAGAACAAAATAAATTATCTTGTTCTAGACATCTATACGGTTCTGCGCGGGAATTTTATTACCGAATTATAGTATATAAAGATACGGTTTGTTTGATATTATAGAAAGATTATGTTTTTAGGATATCAGAGAACAATTACTAGACATTCCTGTGGTTTAGATTATCTGGTGCAGGTTTTAATATAATTGTTAGCAATTCTAGTCCTGATGCTGCATGCTTCGGCGAAAACAGCTAGGCTTTACTTTTCCCTAAGAACTTCGAGCCATTCGAAACGATTTTCTTAGTCAAGTCTTGACAAATGAAGACGATTGTTCCATTTGGTAGAAAAATAGCAAAAAAAGAGATTTACGGATTTATGGTTTGTTCTTAGGATAATATTTGAGTAATTATCGAGCTTTCAGCATAAAATTGTAGCCGAACTCGTGATCCTTCATTGCTCATAAAACCACATCATTTGCTTCAACAATGGAGACTTCAAAGTCTTGAAAAGTTCGCGATGGACATTGATGCGTCATTTTCGTTTAGTAAACCCCTTGGTTCTGAAGCTTTCAAAAAATAATAGACAATCATGATGGAACATCTTCTGAAAATTTCAGATTGATCCATCAAACTATCAATGAGTTATTGACCGAACAATGGCGTTCTAAGGTTTGTTTCGCATATCCATGTTTTCAGTAGAAATAGTCTAGTTAGTCAATAGCTTGATGAACTTCGATAAAATTTATATCAGAAATAGCTATAATGCAGGACTACAAACTGAGAGATTGAACGACTGGAAAAGCTTATCTGTTCTTGAGTTACGAAACTGATAGTGATCGTGGACACTACCTATTATAACTTCATTCCAGCTCGAGTGATTATGATGCTGATGCTACCCTTGACTTACATTATCCATGGATGACCTGCAGAAGAATTTTCAGACGTTTAGCTGTCATAGGGACTAACGAGGGAACATATTTGAGTGTACCCACGCAAATATAGATTTAAAACATTCTATCCTATAGGGTCACCCATGGATATTTCAGATATGAATATCTTAGCTGCTCTCGTTTAGGTCTGAGGATAAAAAGACATAACTTTTTCAGGTGTAGATCCTAGTCTGCTAATATGTATACCATAAAGTTTTTCTTTTTTTTTTTGTAACTTCGCTAAAATTATCATTTCGTTCTTAGAAAATAATTGTAGAAAATCAACAAGATTCGTTTTTTTCAAGCTATCTCTCTGTCAAAAATAGTAGTAT